ACAATATAAAAGCAGCGAAAACAAGAAAGAACGCTGTTCTTTTGTCTAGGCTTTAAGATACCCAGTACGTACTATCAATTACAAAAAAGGTCAGGTTGTTATGTATGTACAGACATGTAAGAAGACCATATGTGATGTTTTTTGATAACCCAGTATCCAGATGTATAACAAAAAAATATAGTTTTAAATATTATATCATGCTTAACATACTTAATCTTGAACGACATATGTATAACGATTTCACTTCAAGCCGTTTGTTGTTTTGTTTATTTTTCTTGTCAAACATATTCTAATAAAGTATATTATATCAACCAATTTGAGTACCTATACTCCCTTTTAACGGGTATAAAAATGAAGCGCAGCCGCCCACCCAGCAGTGACGTCGGCGTCGACGTAAGCAGCACACAAACAAAATGCTCCAAGCGCCACACTACATACACACACACACCTACGGAACACACACATCGCTCACATCACCATAAAAAGACAAACAGAGGCACGCACTTTATCAAAAACAAAATAGAAGATCTCTTAGTCGCTCTGCCTCTCTCTCTCTCTTTCTCTTGCCTGCAGCGTGTGGGAGCAAGATAGCTTGCCCAGAAATGCAACCACGTGTGTTGTTTATTACACCAACACACACTCGAAAACTGCCAACGGAAAATAATAAGCGAATGTCAATACGAAAACGGAATCTTACAAAACAAAAAACAAATAACTGCGCAAAGCGAAATGCCGAAAGACCAAAAACAATAGCTAGTGCAAGCGAGACGTCCATAACTGAGAAGCAGAGAGTGATGGAAAAATATTAAACATTTCAAAAAGCGAATGGAATGTCAATAATATAAATTCTAATAAACTGCTGGTGTTTTTTAGTTTGTTTTAATTTAAGATAACTGTGAACCTACTTATTTTTGTCAACCGAAACTGCTGGTCTAGGTAATAACTTTAAAAGCTTATACATATATATATATTCTTCATACGAGTCAAAAATTTTTCACAATTTTGTTGAAATATTTCAGGAAAAAATAGTTTGATAGGCTCTTAGTCCTTAGTTACCATGCAAAGAGATTGACCATAATCTGAAATCAAAATATCAAAACAAACAACTTGCCATTGGCCATTTGTTGATTCATGTGGGTGTATTTCTCATTCAAGTGTGCGTGACACCGAATAAACAGTTCCACGAGAAACCGTCGCATACAATATGATCACAAGATCCAGTAACCATATAAACACCACGTCATCGCCTGTCTACTGCCGTCACTCCCCCTCTTAAGCTTTAGTTCTAATTTTCACCATCAGCGTACTATACTCTACTTTTCCTTTATTTCCGTTATGGCTGTTTTTGAAATCACATACCTAATACAATAGTTGTACGCACTCGAACTCTAAGATATAGGTGTGCACAGCTGTGGTAAATAAATATCTCACGGTTTCTTGGTTTTATGGTCTTTAAAGAACTTAAAATTAAACTTATTTATATATATTATTATTATTTATTTATATAATTTGTATATATTATAATTTTTTTAGATATAGATTTTAAGGGGTAAAAATCAATTTAGTCGTTGATTTAAATTAAAGTTTTAACACTATAATATTAAATTAAGTTGCAGGGGTATTTTTATGGCCGCATTGGTCGGCGTATTTGGTGTACATGCGTAGGCGACTACAGACTTTTAAAGGGGAAATCGGTGGACTCTCGTCATACGACCGACTGACGAGCGTTGACTATATGTCATGTGTTGTTGGGTCCAAGTGTGCGTGGTGCTCCATGCCGCTTGTTGCTGTTTCTTTCGCTTTGGTTCTTGTTCTTGTTCTTGTTAGCACTATTGTTATTGCTATGTCTGTTATTGCTGGGTATTATTTACTTGGACCTTCGACCCTCTCCATATGATAAGGTTCGGGACCAGGCGCGCGTTATAATGGGTGGATGTTTTAACGGCTGGTTGAATGAGAGATGCGAATCCACTTGTGAATCACTATGCCTGCCCTCGCGACGGTTCTTGGAATAGTCAATTTCGATTTAGTCGGTTTTCCGCGCGGCGGATGCATATAAAAACACAATTAAATACGGCCCGACGAAAACAAGTTGACTCACACAGCAAATACATTGCATTTCGAAATGGCAAAAACTACACTTGAATAATTAATACCAAATTGGGAATTATCCAAAATGCAGAGCCAATAAAAGACGGGAGGTGGTTTCCCGGATTTGGATCACCTTGAATAGAAATTTAAGTTTTATGAAGTGCTTATGATTTTTTATACATATTCATATGTAATCGTACATGTACATTACTTTTATCAATCTCTTGTTGACGAATGTACATACTTGTTGACATACGTACGGACACAAGGCCACCAAAACTTAAGCTTTCCTTCTCAATATTTACATTGTCCCTTTATTAGAGAATGAAATAAATGTATACTTATATATACTTACACACATGTGTATATATTTATGTTCATAGGGTTATGAATCATATTTGTTTAATTTTATTTAGTGTTATTATTATGTTATGTTTTATTACATATGTAATAATATACAATTATTTTTAACTGATCCTTCCTTTCAAAAAAATTCAAAATTCAGAAAAAACATATGTAGCATAAGAACAACAACAGGGCAATAAACTCGCAAAGCGTGCATGCTAGTTCGAGGGCAAGGGGGTGGAGCAGCGAGGGGGAGTGTGGAGCGATTAGAAGACGCGCGTCTAAGTTCAAGGCCAAGCAGTTCACAGCATAAGCAGCAAAGGCAGCAACAACAAAAAAGTGCAAAAACAACAGCAGCATGGCAAGAGAGAGATGAGCGGGGTGGTAAAGAAGCAAACGCAGCTGAAAAAAGTGCACACAAAATTGTTTTGCAGTATGTGTGTTGTTTCACAGCGAAAAAGGTCAATGACACCTGCCTGTTTGTTTCGTTCGGCTCGCACACACATACAGGCTTATCACCGGCCACTCTCTTTCGGCTGTAGTGCCCTCTCTTTTTAACCTTCTCGCAGCTACGTTTGGACATGTGGTCAAAGCTTTTTGTTTTTTTTTTTTTGTTTTTAGACGTTTTTGTGTTGGTGTCGGTGTTTTTGTTTTTCGTTTCGCCGCTGTTAATTAGTGTGGCCAAATTATGCGCCAAAATTGCCAACGAGTGGCTGGCCATACGTCATCAACAATAGCCGGACAAACAATTTCCGGTTTTTTGCCACACCATAAAAAACCAATATTAAAAATAACATACACGAAAATAAAACAATAAAAATACAGAGAAAGAAAAACAACAAACTTGGCCCGGGTTCCGTCATTGCCTCATCCTCTATAGATCTCTTCAGTATTCTGCTTTATTTTGATTCTATTTCAGCAATTTGTTTTTGCGGGGACTTATTTTTGTCGCAAGCACACACACACAAATACAAAATCACACTTATGCTCGTAAAGCGGGCAAAGCAGGCAAGCAAACTCGATTTAAAAATAAATAAATTACGCACAAATACATATACATTGGCCAACATTCCTCTGGCCTCGTCAAAAATATAGCATGATTAATACAAAAATGCGCAATTCTCGGTTGTTTTTTTTGTTTCGATCTTGTTGTTGTTCTACTAACCCCACCTCCTAATTTTTTATGGCATTTCGCTCTTATTATACAATAATAACGCGAATATAATAAGAGCACAGCAAGTGGGCAGTCCAACGGCAACGCAAATAGCAACAACAAGCGCAGCGGCACGCCAATTAGTGCTTATGCTTTTTAATTAGCAGGCGGACCCATCCCCACATTTCCCATTTCCCACTTTCCCAAAACCACCTATCCGTAATATCTCCCCAATCCCCAGTTATTTGTGTTGTGTTTTCCTATTTTGCAATACGAAAGGTTTCATTTCAGTTCAATTACGTGCCCTCAGATCTATTGTTATAATACAGTTCCCAAAACAGCTTTTACTTTTAGGTTATTGTAGTTTAAATCAACTTTTAATCTAAATTAAATGAACAGTCTTCAAAATATTTCCCGAACTCGATAAAGTAGAATTTTAAAAGTTTGTATACATGTACGTTGTTTGTTTTATTAAGTTTATTTGTAAGTAAATTGCCAAAACTAGGCAATTTGGTCACACTCTTAAAAAGCAAATTTATAAATGAAAACAAGCCAAGACAAAAACTGCACTGTCATGACATTTTGACAGCCAATGAAATTATGCTGTGGGAAACTTTGTAGTTAATTAAACGCATTAAAATAAGCGTAAACAACATATTTCTTCGACAAATCAAGAAGTGAGTGAGCGCAAAGTTAATTGATGCCCCTAATTAAAAATTAATGGTTTTTATTATGCAAACGGCTATAAAATGTGAGGTATGGAGTATATTTAAATAATTTTTTTTTGGTTAATAGTAGTGGTTAAATTTATTTGCACCTTATAAAACCTTATAAAATATACAAAGCATATGTATATTATGTTATAATGTTATAATGTTATGTTAATAAAAGTTTTATGTATACACTTTTTCAAAATCCTTTTTTAAATAAGAAAAAAATTAAAAAAAATGTTAAATGTAAACTTTTTTGTTTCTATATTTGCATTGCTGTGAAAACATATGAATAATACCTAGGCGGATTGATTTAATTGGTAACTTATCTGTACCGCTTTTAAAAATGTGTGCAACAATAAAAAAGCACAAAAACAACAACAACAACTACACGCATAACCGGCAGCAGTCGAAAATTCTTTCATTTCTTTTTCGCCTCTCTTCGCGCAGCCGCTCTCCGCTGTGCTGCTCATTCACAAAACGGAGACGTATAGCGGTGTGCGAAGAAGAAGAACAACAACAGGCCCAAGATATGATAGATATGGGACAACAACAAAAGGAACAAGAGAAACCGGGTGTGGAGAGAGGAGAGCAAAAACAACTTGGCATAAATTGCTGCTGCGTAGTAATTTCAGTCGAGTATTTTTCTAGTTACGTTTTTACTACTATTTTTCTTTTTATTATTATTTGTTTCCACATACCCCTTTGCAACGTTGTTGTTGGCGCGAAGCATTGTTGTTCTAGTTGTTGTTTGTCACCTCTTTTTTTTTCTTTTTTATTTTGGTATCGATTTCAAAATAGAACGACGCACTTTCCCAGACGCAGGCGTAATTAAATTTTTCTTATGTTTTATTCGCGTGCTTTCTTTTGCGCCGCAACTTCACAACATGCTGTGTATAATATATACACACAATGCGTGTGTGTACACAAATTTTATTTATTTATTTACCGTGAATTTTACACACACACAGCCGGGCATTCCGCACACTGCCATCAGTACACCAAATTTGCTCACACTTGTATTTCGTGGAATTTCTTCTATTCCAACTCCATTATCTCACGGTATCTTTGAACTCTAGCACTTTTCATTCACTAAATGCGTTACGCACTGGACATGCTTTACTGTCCATTTCTTTTTTCACATTTATTTTTATTTTTGTTTCCAAAAACCACATTAAACACGTTTCTCCCGACCTAAGCGCGCGAATTAAATTTTCTACGAGGCGCGAACTCAATTTTTCTACGGACGAAACGCGAGCGCTCGCTTTAGAAACTCGTTTGACTGTGCACTTTTGTTTTTGTGCTAGAGATGCGAAAACATCGATTTTGCAAACGATAGTATCGATGTTTTAAATGTAACATCTATGATTATGCAGCCCTGGTTTCTTAAATTTCGATATCGATGTTTAGCCAATGCACCCACCTAAAGAATGCCCCTTCTTACTTAGCAATTACATCTTCCTAACTTAGTGAGTACACACTCCCAACCTAGGAAACCTACCTTTCCGACCTAGAGAGTGCACTTCCCTACAGGGTTGCCAACTCGGATTTTAAAAAAGGCGTAGGTCAGATAAAGAAAGTTATGTAGAAATGTGAAATTGCCGTATAAAAAATACGTAGATCTACGTACTTTTTTTCTGAGTGAAATTAAGAGAGTAGGGTAGGTAAAAGTAAATAAAATGACAATTTATATTACCCTAAAAGTAGTAGACAGCAAACAAACAACAAATTTAAAAATAAAAAAAATCTATGAATTATAGATCTACCAAAATCTCATGGCAAATAAGCCAAACTTTACATGCAAATATAAAATCATCTATTTATTTATTACCAGTAATTGATCTGTTTATATAGATATTTATATATTTGCACATAGAGTATGAAATAAATAAGGCTATATAATGAATGGATTTTAATAAAATTGTGTATAAAGTTTGGCTTATTTACCACGAGATTTTGGTAAACCTATACCACCTGTAGTTAATTTAAACAAGTTAAACAAGAGGCTAGGGGTGTCCGTTAGTATGAAACGGAACGTTTATTAATTTTTTTCGCGAAAATAAAGGTAATTATGCCCATTCAGTCTATTTTGCAAATTTGAACAATTTTGATAGAAAATACGTAGATTCTGGGACTTAAGTTAGTAGGTTTGAAAGAAAGGCTTAAAGTACGTAGATCTACGTAAAAAGACGTAGAGTTGACAACCCTGCTTCCCAACCTAGCGAGCAAGCAGCCTTGGCACCCGTTACAATTCCTTTAAAACTCTACTTAATTTTAAAAACTGGGGAACTATTTTAATCTTAAGATTCTGGTTATTCGCAGTTATTTTACTAATTCAGTAAAATTCTTTGACGTCCACAGTTTTTAGGTTACCACAATTTTTATAATATATTTGGTATCTGATATTTTAAGGCATTCACTATAACGTTATTGTTATTTTACTTGCAAAAGTGTAGCTCCCCTAACTTTGAGACTTCATCAAAACAACAGATATTTTGTTTTAAAACTTTTTTTGTTTATTTTAAAGTTTTCTTGTTTTCTAATATTTACTTTTTCCTTTTTTTCGTGTGTTTGATTTTGGAAAGAAAGAAACGTACCTAACAAAGTTTGTGTTTCTCTTACAAAAATTAAACGTACAATAATTATACAGAGGTTTCGGTTTTTGTGGTTCTTCTTCTTTTATTTGTTGTATTTTTACAGTTTTATGATTTGCATTTGTTTGTTGCATTTATTGTTTAGTTAAATATATAACTAGTAGGCGAGAGTTTAAATAATTATTTATGTACTTGTAGTTGACTCTGTTAAGTTGTTGGTTGTTTGTTTTGTGGGATGATTTGGCTTCTATGAATAAACTGCTATTGGGCCCATGTGTGTGTGTTTATAGTTTCAATTTTATAACAATAACAAATTATTATACATAGTTATAGCTTTAATAATAGTAATTAAAAATCAATCTGTTAATCCAAGCAGAATAAACAAATGGCAGAAGAAGTCCTTGTTGCATGCGTAACTAAAACATGAGAGGGGGTGTTTTTGGGGAAAAAGGAGGTGGGGGAGGGGTTGGGGCCCAGGAGTAGTGTTCTCTTCTTCTGCTCTGTTTGAACATTGTCTTCGATCTTTTTTTACAATTTGAAATTGATTTTCTTTTTATTGTTGTTTATTTTATATTGATTGGAATTAAAACTATTTTGTTTTCTAATTAAAAATTATGTGTGTGTTGGTTTTTTTTTTTTTTTTACTAATTTACAGACAGTTCTAGCCCAAAAAAAGAAGTTTGATAAGGGGGAAGTATTCGCCTTTTGTGTGTGTGTGTGTGTTATCCACTTTTCTATATCATATTCCTGATTCTTCTTTTGCTTCTCCTTTGCTTTTTTGTTTTAAGGCTAAAATTGAAATTTGCTTATAAAATGTGGCTTTTCTTGCTTCAACTTCTCCTTTTTTCTCGTGAGGCTGAGTTTTCGTAAAGTAGATTTTGTGTTTTTTGTTTCGTTTCGCTTAAATTAGTTTGGATTATAAATTTAAATGTAAATATTTTTTACGCTTAAAACTTTACACACAACTTAGTTTCATTAAGTTTTGCTGATTCGCTTTTTTTGTGTTTTGTTTTTGGATTTTTTGTTTGTGGTTTTGCAATCAAATAATTTAATAATTTGTAATTTGCTGGTTTTTGTGTTCTCTTTTTGTGTTTTGCCATTTGTATATAATTTAAAATTATAAACACCCCCAGAATCCCAATTTTGAAGATATATATATATCTCAATATATATATATGTGTGTGTGAGTGTGCTTGGCGGACGTCTCCTCTTAGGATCCATAGGCATCCGAGCCGAAGTCGAACAGCCGATCAATGCCCTCGTTCGCGTTCAGCGCGTAAGGATAGTCATTGTCGTCCGGCGGATTGATGGACACAAAGGCAATGTCGTTGCTGAAGTCTGTAAATAAAAATGCAACACGTTAGTTTATATTTCCGCAATGTTTCATGGAGCTGTTGGGCAGATGACTGTTGATGGTGGCTCTACATTGGATTATTGTCGATTTTATTGGCCGTGGACAAACATAGAGGAGGATAGAGAGCTGAGCTGATAGAGCGAGAGATGTTGTGGATGCATGTTTGAAATTCACGCCAGAGCTGAATCTCATGGTGCTACAGAATTTCAATTTCAAAATGAACAATTGGCCCTGGAGCGGTCAGTGTTGTCAGTGCAGACCCACGAGAATTCAGTTCCAAAATGAATTTGACACGAGGACGATTGCTGACGAGGCGTCGGGTTATATGTCGATATATATATACAATTATGCACAATACTTATTACATTTCAATTTATATTATTAGTAAATGGTTAGGATGTTGGTGTGAGCACAATGTGTGATTACCCTGCAGTTTCAAATATCAAATCATAGTGATAAATGGAATTGCAGGGTATGAGCAAATGTTGTATGAGACACATGTTAGATGTTATGTTTGAATGGATTGTTTTTACCCTTTAAACAGTGTTAATTACATAATGGGGGTGCTCTAAAAATCCCTTTCGATTGACTTTCTTCAGAGATTTTTTCACACCCCTTGAACAAACATAAATGGTTTATCAAATAAAAATAAACATAAAATCAAATTGTCAATTTTGAACTGATTCTCGTTGGCCGAAATGTTGCAAAAAGAAATAAAATACGTTGGACGAATATTGAAAATTTTGAAAAGCTCATAATTCCATGATCTGTTACCTTAGGTTTTGGTTTATGTTGCTTCGAGGACTCACGCTCAGCAAGAACTCAGACTGTGATGCGGATTGTGGATACACGCAGGTCACAGAGAGAGCTCTTGACAAGTGCGCCTCGTTGAGATCTAGAAATTTTTCCACAGTTAGCTGTTAGCTGCTGTTATTTACATAGCGACGACACAAAAACTGTGGCGAATGCGAAATGATCTTGGATGAATGGGTTATTGCAAGCACGATCAGATTATATTATTTACAGTTGCCGTCAAAATAATAGATCAAACAAGATATTCAAAAATATATAAAATTCTAAAGCCGAAAAAGTTTACTTTTATAAAGCCCAGCACTCAGTTCGAAACGCCTGGAAACAAGTTAAAACATTGATCGAAATATAATAGCGATTTAAAAGAAAACATAAAGATTCTTGAAAAGAGTAACAGATAATATTCTTGAAATTGGCGGGGAAATCCGTTTTTTAAAGCACTTCATTGACACACACTTAATCACAAATAATTAATGTTCTTTTCCCGAGGGGCATGAAAAAATTCCCACTGATTAATTTGTTTCGATTATCTTAGTACTTTTTTTTAGAAAACACCAATACGAAATGTATTCATAAAACAGATTTCGCTGATGTGAGTACTAGGCTTTAAAGTCCACTTCGCTTCAAAAGAGTACATGTACGTTAAGCAGAAAACTATTATTTTGACCGCTTGAGGCTGGGGATGGAGGAAACAAGCTGCCCGCGAGTACTTACAGTCCGAGTCAATGTCGTTGAAGAGCGCATCCAGGCCCTGGAGCGTGACGTTGCTGCTGTTGCTGTTGGCATCGCAGTCGGCCACGCCGGGCGGCAAGCTGTGGCGGCCATGGCTGAACGGCTGATGGGGATCAGCGTTGGCGCCAGCGCCAGCGATGCTGCCATAGCCGCCGTCAGCGCAGCCGCCGCCGCCGCCGCCGCTGCTGCTGTTATTGCTGTCCGCCACGGCAGCGAACTGCATATGCAGTGCGCTTATCGCCGACGACTGTGTTGCCGCTGCTGCTCGCGATTTGGCAGTTGCTTCGGCTGCTGCTGCTACAGATGTTGTGGTGGCGTCCTCCATTGCACAATTATACATGGGCACATCGCTGCGTCGCTGCCTGCTGCCGTATCCTATTGTGGGCGGTTGAGAGGAGTTGCTGTTGCTGTTGCTGCTGCTATGGTTGCTATGATTGCTGTGGTTGCTGCTGCTGCTGTTGTTGTTATGACTATTAAGCGTAGTAGTTGCTGCTGTTGCTGTCGCGCTGCCTGCGGCAATTGCAGCGGCTGCTGCCGCCCGACGACGCTTCGTGGGCGTCGGGGGCGAGGATTCTGTTAGGCTGCTGAACAGCTCCTGGATGGACGGCTGCTGCTGCTGCTGCTGGTGGAACTGATGGCTTCGGATCACCGGGTTCGTCAGTGTCGGCACCAGCTGACTCAGCTCCGCGTCCACGTCGTCCTCCTCCGGCTGCTGCAGCATCTGCTGTGGCTGCTGCTGCTGCTGCTGCGTTTGCTGATTCAGACTATGATGCTGGGCCATCGCAATATCACAAATGTTATTATATTCAGGCTGGGACTGCTTGGCGGCCTCCTCGATCGATTTGCTGAGGTTGCGGGCCGAGCGGTAGGTCGTGGGAACTGCAAGTTAAAAGATGAGAGTAAGTAAATCGTTGGCAAATTTGTATCTACAATTGATTGGCATGCAACTCACCTAATCCCTTTGTGCTCAGGGCATCGATGTTGTTGAAGAGCGGATCGTTCAGGCGCTGGTTGGTCAGCGGATGCAGTCGCGTGGAGGTGGCCGTTCGAACGCATCCCGCGCCGGGGGCTCCAACGTAGCCGGCGCCCGCCGCAATCGGCGAGTTTTCCGGCGAGGTGTCATGGCAGAGGAAGACATTGATCTCCCCGCTGTTCTCCGCCTTCACGTAAATCTCGCGCGGCAATTTTGTGTTGGGCAGCTGGAAAGCAAGAACACAACCGAAAACCGATTATTAACCGAATTCCAAATGTAGGTATGTCGACGCATAAAATACAAAAATACAGATAAATGGCGAACGGGAAACTAACTTCTGATTTGATGGGGAAGCGGTAGAAATTGTTTAGCGGTCGCCGACCGCTCGGCAGCGAAAGAGAAACACAAATGAAGCGAGCCCGAGAATGAGCAGCTTTTTTTTGCCGCTCGCGTATTTTTAGAAATGATATTTTGCTTTTCGCCGTTTCTTACCCCCCGCAGCCTTCTTTTATTTTGTTTTATTTTATTTTTTATAGCCTCTCTTCTGCGTTGTTGTTATTTCGGCAATCGGTTATTGGCGTTGCCAGAGGGCTTGAGAATTAAGTGGTCGTTGGAAACTGTATTCGAAAAATCATAACTATGGATATCTGTCGAAATCCCTCAGATAAAAATCTCGCACTTTTTTCACAGATAATCGGAGAGTTCATTTAACAGTTCAAGGCGAGCGAGAACATTAAGCGTTGCTATATTTTTATAAATAGTTCGACCGAGCGGCAACAGCAGCGGCGATTGGAAAAAGTTTGTTGGACGAGGCCAGAAATTTACTTGATATCAAAAGGAAGGCGGTGGCCACAGGAGGAGCGGCAGGCCGGGCGGGATTCCATTCTGCCTGTCGTGTCTGCCGCTGCGATGGGCTTCTATAAATAAGCGCCACGTTTAATGGCATGCAGACGCTAAGAAGAAGCACCGCTGACTAGCCAAAGAAAAGCAGGGAAAAGCTAGGAAAAGCTCTGACGTAGGCAAACCTATATAGGAACTACACATTATATCCGCAGAGATATAAGCAGTTGGTACAGAAATAAAAGATGGGGATATCGACAACTTCTGATTGGTGGAATGAGTCAAAAATATTACTGTTGCTCATCCAATTAATATATTAAATATATTGTTAGTAATCAAAATCTAAGTGACAATAAAACACCCTTAAAGGATTCAGTAATAAATACTCGCTCATTCACTTCCTGGTAATATTTTTTCTAGTATTCCATCCGACATTTCTTTGCCAAATCTTGTTTTCCACACTTTAAAACTCACCACAAGCTTGGCCTCTGGCGGCGCCTTGATCACGATGACGATCTGATCTTTGAAGAGATCCACGTTGAGCAGGTCGTTCTGCGTGACGTAGGCCATGCCGCCGGCGTTCTCCACCTCCTGGGAGATCTCGGCCAGACTGCCGCGCATCTGGTCGATGGCCATGTTCAGCTGGTTCTCCAGCTGCTCCAGTCGCTCCGATTCCGCCTCGATGCGACGCGACCGCTCCTGGCTGACCATCGACTGCCCGCAGCGCCACTGGATGTTGTTCTTCGACTTCTTCTCCAGGATGTTGATGCCTTCGAGGACGTTCGTGATGTCGTAGATGCGCCGCTTCTGCACGTGCAGCCGATTGGAGGCCTCGTTCAGGTCCACAACGCCGTCGGGTGACGCCTGCAGCAGGTCCACGAACTTCTTGGTCAGTATCCCCAGCGAGGTGTCCGCCCGATTGCGGTCGCCGCTCGAGGAACTGGCCACCGAGGCGGCCAACTGCTGCTGGGGCGTCGACAGGGCGAACGAGTGATGCGCTGCCGGCTTGGCCACCCGCTCCACCACATCCTCGTCCAGCTCCGCGTCCGCATCGTGGTTCAGCTGGTGTTGGCTGTGCCGCAGCTGCTGGGGCGTGCTGACGTGCTTCTGGTACACCACCGTCTGATGGTGCGCGCTCTGCTTGGCCTGTTTCTTCGGGTGGATCTCGTCGGTGACAGCATGGGGCCGGCGTTTGACCTGCGAGGAGAATAATAAAACAGTTAACAAAGTTCTATTAACATAAATATAGTACATAAACATAGTATCTAAACTACATTGCTGGTCTTTTATATAAAGGACAACATTTAACAACATTTTCTTGCGAATACTGTAACCCAGTTTGAATTTAAGCTTGTTGTTTAAGTCCTGGCAGCGTGTTTGAACAGCAACATATTGTTTTTGCTCATGACTTTCACTCATGAACAACTCCCCAATGACCCTAAACCCTACATCCCCTTCTTTTCTGAAACCACAACTCACCTTGTAGTAATTTGTGATATCGTTGGACTTTCCGGCCACCTTGCGTTGCTGCTGATGGTGCTGCTGCTGCACTTGCTGCTGGCCCGCCGTTGCTGTCGCCGCTGCTGTGGCCACCGCCCCCGTGGAGTGCCCCTTGTCCAGACTGATGTACACATGGTCCCGCAGATGGGCTGCCACGCCGCTGTTACTGTTGCTATTGCTGTTGCTGTCGCCGCTGCTCAGGGCGTGATCGTAGTCCAGATCGAGGGCCTCGTTCTTGATCACAATGTTGTTGTTGTTGTTGATATTGGTGGTGCCGCCGAGCACATCGTAGTTGAGTCTGCGGGCGACCATCGAGTGGCCAGGTGTCCCGCCCGAGCCATAGTGTTGTTGCTGGTGTCGCTGGGTGTTGGTGGTGCTGGTGGTGTTGTTGTTGTTATTGCTGCTGTTGCTGTTGTTGATGGGGGCAACATTCACAAAGAACTTGGACATTTCGCTGCCGGTTGTTCCGTGATTCTTTGGCGATCCTCCGCCTTACTCTCACTCTCACTCTCCCTCTCTCTCTCTGCCTCTGCCTCCTTCTCTGTTCTCGTAGATATCTTTTGTTATGTATATGCGGCTGATTCTGTTAAGTTCGCCTCAGTCGGCGATCGCTGGCCTTATTTTGTAGCATACTTTTAAGCACTGCCTTCGAAAAGTTGCCACCCAGTCGGATATTCCAGCTCGAGTGTCGGTTTACTTATTGTACTGCCTGTTTATCGCTCTCTGTCTCTCTCTCTTTTTCTTTTTGCGCTTATCAACTAAATTAGCACCTAAGGATTCTTCACATCTGCAAAAGAACAAAAAAAGAGTAGATAAGGTTAGATTTTTGTGTGTGAACTTTATTGGCTCTTATTTATAGCTAGTGGAGTAGTTTGACCTCCTTTCTCGATATTTTATGCATTTGGCACATTAAACTTTTGATCTGCCTCTTATTTTTTCCAGCCGGGCGCAACAACAAATTAAAATGCGCAACCGACAAGCGAACGAACGAATGTATGTGAAAATGCAAATAAATGCGAAACGAAAGGCAATGGCGAGAACAAACAATTTCACGACTATAATTAAAGAGTGCTACAAAAGGAAATGGCCGATTGGGGAAAAACAGGTAAATAACAAAAGGCTGTGACTTTTAAACTGATAACAGACTGTGAGTTTGGGGGAAAAAATGGTTGTTGGTAGATCTGCAGGGCTTAATAAACTATAATTTATACCTTCCAATCCGGTAGTCATATCAATTTTATGCAAGTCCCAAAGTACACACAATACGACACAAAGAGTTTTTAAATTATTCAATAATTATAAATCTTCGATCATCAAACCTCTGATTGACGCATATAAAATGCAGCCAAACCAGATGATAAGCTCAAATACAGGAACCTAAAAAAAAAACAATGGTTAAACAAAAATGCTAAGCTCAAACGAACCGGATTCAACAGCTAGGAGAGGGGAAAACGGGGGGAATTGTCCGCTCTGAAGCATGCCGAAACTATTTCTGAACCCAAGAAGAAGACACGCTTAAGTTCGCGCACAAAATGTCAATAAACTCGGCATAAAATATTAAACAATCAATATGTGTGGAAGAATCAGAAGGCAAAAGCAACAAACGCAAAAGAGAAGGCAAGCGATAGAAACGAGAAAAACCATCAGGTAAGGAAGAAAATAACGTTATTGCCGCGGTCGGCTTAAAGCGCTTTTGGCAATATACAAGCCACACTTAAAATATAATACATATAATGTTTATCATATCATATTATGTATATGTTTTATTATTCATGAATTTTGTGAACCAGCAAACTTTTAATTAAAGGTTAATTAATATTCCGGCATTAATACAAACATTGTTTACTATATCAATCAAATAAAAAATTACATTAGAGGTTTTAGAGTTAATATTTTTTTCTGTGTGTCTACCTGTCACCTCTTGCTCCACAAGCCCGACTTTAAGTTCGTTAGAGGGATTCTGGCCCCGTTCGCAGTCAAAGTGAGCATGAATGGAAGACGACAACAACAAATTAAAAAGCTCAAATGAGCGTAAAAATAAGAATAACAACAACAAAAAGGTAAAACTGGCAATTAGCGCTGCTCGCCTTGCGTGCAATGTTAATTTGCATAACAGAAACTGTTAACTAAGCAGCCAACGGTTATGAATTTAGCAAAATAGAAAACGACAGAGAAAATGCAGCCACAAACTTATCCGTTTTTTCTCCAACCACACTAGCTGATAATTATTCTAGACGCGGCAAGAAAATAAACCAAAGAATGATAGCGCAAATGAATGCGCTAAAGTAAACCGAACTAGGTGCCGCTAAAATGTCGCTTGGAATTTGCTGAAATTTGCAAGAAATTGGAATAGCAAACCCGCGAGGTAGACAAGCCATCGCATTTAACATTGCACAGTGGCCTTGAAAGCCAGAAATTCCGCTTCGAGGTAACTAAATCTAAACACTGATAATCTCCGTTTAAGATTTGTTAATTCCCTTTAAACAGCAGCTTTAAAACCAGTTTTAAAATGCTTAAATATATTATAATTTTAAAAAGTTAAAGATTTATTATAAAATATTAAAATTTGCTAAAATCAAATCCAATCTAAAAAGATTTGAAAAAGCATTTTGTGATCTTAATAAAACGAAAGTCGGGATAAAAAAGGAATGATTTATTTTTTATGATTTTTCATTTTAGATTTTTTACTGTTAATGAGAAATTATTTAACTAATATGCCGTCTGGCCTTCCCCTTTTCCATCTTATTGGCTACTTTTGGTGTTTTAAATTGCAGTTGCGTTGGTGGCAACTTAATTCTTTCCTTTCGCATCCATTTCAACGTTAGCCGAAAGCTTGCAGTGATTTTTCAAGCGTGTGTTAATGTGTTGGTGTGTTTGAGCTAAAAAAAAACGGTATTTGCTTACAGACGAACGAGCTCAGGTAATTCAAGTCCTATACATGGAAATCGTATACTCTCTCTCTCTTTCTGCCTCCAAAAGAAATGTTAAAATCATGTGGGCCAGACAAAAGGCAAACGAAGAGGAGAGGGAGAGGAAAAGGGTACCGAAAAAACCAGGTAGGTCTCGCCGATTGAAATTTCCAATTTAAATTTCTTTTGATCGGCACGCAAAATCCGAACAAGTAGCTGGAAATATTTTGCATCTAAAATTACAGTGGGACGTATAAAATTACTTAAACAACACAATTTAGCAAGAAAAAACGAGGAAGGGGTTTGGGAAGGATTGAGATCCATATACAACATACAAAAAAAAGAAGACTTATTTTTGAAGCCTTTTAAAATTGCGAGTTTCACAATTAAAAATAAACTTCATCTGACGACTTTAAAGACCTTAATATTTCATGAAAGTCATTAAACTTAATTGTTATATAGAGGTTATCAAGGGAGCACCTCTAACTTATCACCAGTAACAGTTTGCCACGAAATACCATACATTATCTAACATTTAACAATACAAAATGTACTTTTATTTACGAGAGGTTATTTAACACGTTTATATATGTATAAGTCAAATTACTTAACAAAATCGTGTTAGTGTTATTTTCAGCTACAAGTTGAAAGACCTTGAAAGCCTGATATTAAATAAAGAGAAAATAAAATACCTGGTTAGCATTGCAGACCAAAACAAAATCTACAAAAACGTATAAAGTTTGTTTAAGTATCAACCCCTCCAAGAAAACCCCCCTTCATTGAAAAGAAGATATCTTGAAGGTAACGTATCTGTATCTGTATAATAATAACTTCTAAGTGCACTTGTCAGTCATCTCTGCATACATTTATCTAACAGCAGAAGGCGAAGCACAAGGCAAAGCAAACAGAGGGAAAATAACATTATGCAAACAGGGAAATGAACATGAAAATACGAAGCGGCGAATGGAAAATCGTGGAAAATGTGGCCTACACGGCAAATAAATAACAAGTTTTTCTGTATTTTTGTTTTTTTTTCGTCTCTTTTTTTCAATCAACATTGGCGCAACAGAGCGGAGCAACAATAAAATCTAAAATAGCTTTTCTTTGCTTTGGTTTTGGGTTCTCATTGAGAGCAGTACAATTTGTATGACTGATAAAGGAAAAGGCTAGAAAAAAACGTACATATTATGTAGGGGCCAAGTAAATAATTCCGCTGGGGGTTGTGAGGGGTAGAGGTAGGGGTGTGGTAAAGAGGGAGAGAGGCAGCCAAGCGACTCAAGGCACGCAATGCGACTTTTGATAGCGCTGTCGCCTCTCGCTCCCATTCCCTCTCTCACTCTCGCGTTTGCCGTGTTAATTTCAAATTAGTAAAGGTAAAAACAAAAAATTGCCAGGTGGAGAGAAAACGGTTAGAAGAACAGACCAGACAAACGGGGCTTCACTCTTTGTAAGTCAATTTAAAAGCAATTTAATTCAATTACTCTGTTAATACTGTATTCAATTTATAAACAGCTTATTGTCAAAATAATATCTCTACATCGAAAACAAAACTAATTTCCTCTACTAATCCCAAATCGAATGCACTTAATTGATAGCATTAAACTTGCAAAAATAACTGTATTCCTCCAGCATGCCAATATACCGTTATTAATAATGAAGTCCATGCATTTACATGGTTATTAAATATGCATTTGGTTATTAATGCAGACACACACACACATAAGGCAGGCGCAAAAGCCCAAGGAAACATGCACAGATAAAAACACATACACTCACCCACACAGGCTCGCAAAGCTAATAAAAAGTTTCGCTTTCTTTTTGCACATGATTTTGCATGCGCAGTAGAAAAGCAGGGACAAGTGAAATAAATACAAATAAATAATGTGCGAGTGTGCAAGGTGTTAAGCAACAACAATTGCAATTGAGGAAAAAAGTGAACCAAAAAGCAAAACAAGAGAAAGAACACGAATTTTGTGTATTAAGCGGCAGTTGAAAGAGAGTTCCCAGGTAAGTGTGTGTGTGGGATGCTGCGGGTGAGCGGAAAAAGAGAGCGAGAGCAAAAGCCGGCCTGAATCCGAATAACAGCTGTTACACACAAACGCAATCCACATGGAACTTCTCTTTTGTTTTTGTCCGAGAAAAAAGTCCACATGGTTATATTTTTTGTAGCCGGTTTTTGTTTTATTTATAATTTACTTAATTTTATTGAGCCAATTATACTTGGTTTTTATAAGATCAAAGCTTAGGGAAAAGGAAATAACTAATTTGCACAAACACACAAATTAAACAAATAAAGTAACATGGCTCTGTTATAAGCCTCGCCTTAGCAATTTCTTCTTTTCTTGTTTGAGAAAGCCAAAAATAATTGCCAACTGGCTGAGGAAAAGAGAACGAGCGAAAGAGAAGGCAGATTTATCCAGGGAGAGGCGCACAAAATGCGTCGCAAAATATTTCGCCCATAGAAAATGGCAAACAAAAAGAAAAACCGGGCGGGAAGGCAAAAGTTTTCGCGTGGGTGTGGAAATTCAATGCCGGCAAGGCAAGAAGAATTTCGGGGAAGCCCCCTTGCGCATTTCCAAACCAAATACATAATGTACAAAACTCCATTTCGCCTGGCCACTCAAACGATGACGCATTTAGAGTCAATCGAACATTGTATACTTAAAAAGCCTGATAACAGGGGCCATATATGAAGTACTTATATATGTACATAAGTTCAATATAATGTGCAGTTGTTAGTACATTCACAGATTAAAGTGGAAAACTGTTGATACAAGTACCAGCTAAATGAGCGAAAATGGAAAGGTTACAGCTAATTGTAAACCTCCGTTAATTTTATAAATAACACAAAAATAGGTTAAACGTTTAGCGAATAAGGTTCTTAAAAAAAAACGTACACATTTAATAACGCGTACTTCAATACTTCGCCATTTCTTATTTAAATTAAACGAGCTTTTAGTTGCTACGGAAGGAAGAGTGGAACTAAAGACTATAAAAAATAAAATCAGCTTGTAAAAATGTTGGGGTTACGACGGAAATGTTCAGGTGATTTCAAAGATAAAATCAGTTTGCAGTGGAGCTTTTAATGTGCGGAGTTTTATTAAAGACTTAAATTTAGCACGTCAACATTAAATAATGAAAAAACTTGGATTTTAGTTTTCACGAAATTATTATTTATTTAAACTTCTACTGGGTAACCCTTAACTTTTATCAACGGTTCTAGTAACATTTATGACATTTTCACACAGTGTTGTGTGATAGCGCCGATACATAATGTAGTGCTGCTTACATTTTGCACATATTTATTTATTAAAGTTTCCTTACAAATCACATGATAGACTTCAAATTAGCCACGCGTACTTTTAAAACACATAAAACTGTTACCTGCACTGTTGGCTTCTTAACATCTGTTAAAATTGGTAATCTAAGGGCGCCATAAAAAAGCCGCCTCCGACTTTGGGCAAACAAAAATTAAAACTCAACCGATGGACGGCGATTTTAATTTATTATCTCTCAAAAATGGAGCAGAGGGTATTGAATGAGAGAATTGATGAATGATTACTATTCACCGTATCAGTTTTGGAGGTTATTAGGGGTCTTTAGGTGAACCCGAAAATTGAATGATAAATTGATCATCGGTAAAGTGGAAACTCCCTTCGCTTTTTTTTGTTTGAATACGCACCTAAAAATTGGAATTTTTGTCGCTTTTAACTTGCTTTTTATATATCACACGCAACAACAACAATTGATCGGCTTCTTCTTTTTCTTTTCCGCCGCCGCCTGCTTCTTCTTGCTTTTTGAATATCACACACGTTTCATAGTTGCAAATTTTTGATTTTTTGCGGATATTTGCCTTTTCTTTCGGTTACTTTTTGTATTCCACGTATTATATACTGCTGCTTCTTCCTCCTTTTTTTACTCAGTCTGTGTGTGGGCGCGTGTGTGTGTGGGAACTTTTAACTTTACTACGCGACGTGACGTTTCTCTTCTATATTCTCTATATATTCTACGATTCTGTGCGTGACGTCAGCAGTTCGAGCATTTGTTGTAGATATCACATAATTGTTACACGCGCGCACTTTTTAACGGTTTGCTGTTGCTTTTCAGCGGTTTTGGAGCTTTTGCAGTTGCAGTCTTTTCGGTTTTTCGGTTTCTCGGCTTTCCCTATCAGTTTTCCATTTTCACATTTTTGCGGACTGGCGACGAAAGCGACTGAACTTCTTGGGCCACAACGTAAAAGCAAAATGAGTGTATGTGTTGTGCCGTGTCTTTTTTGGAGTCGACGTCGCCGGCAAAAACGCAATCCACACACGGAGAAAGAGAATCGGAGAGGACAGAGACCGCGAGAGAGAGAGAGGGAGTCGCCTTACGTCAAGCAGAGAAAACGTAAGCCCCGACGTAATGGCTTGTTTAATTGCTACCGCCGGTTTACTACTGCATGCATTTGTTTAGAACTCAGCCTTATACTCTTTTTGGTTAGCTTTTCGGTGATTTTATCGGATTTTGTGACGGTTTTCCTGCAGCGACCCTCCGAACGTCTTTTCAGTGCGCACAAGTGTGGGTGAGGGCGACAGCGGCAACATCAGTGACGTCACGGCGCGACAACCACGAGCCATAGAGTAGGATAGTACGTTTCTTACTCTTCGAGCACGCGAACTGATTGCGGCGAGACGGCGAAAACGCCACCGAACCACAAAACGCACGTCGGCTTTTGTAGCGGCGAGTTCCCAGCGACAGCAGCTGAGCGCCAGCGACACACAGAGAGCGAGAGAGTCAACCGTGGAGAGTGGAGAACTACTGATCAAACGATACGATATTTCGATATGTTATCAACGCAAACGTTGACAAACAATAAAAAAAAATAAGTTTTCAACAAACTTTACATTAAAACATGTAGTTATATTAATAATGTAGGAAATTTTAAGCTCATTGTCTAATTTATAACTTGATGGAATGGATTACAAAAACTAATCAAATGTATATTTACATAGGTTTTAGTTACTTTGAAAAGCAATGGTTGAATTTCAGAAAAACCCTGATAGTCGCAGCGAATCAGCGGCATCAGCTGAAACCGGTGGAGTGGGGGAGCGGGCGAAAAGCGAAAGCGCGCGAGAGTGGAACCTAATGGCGCCTGTTGTTCTCCCTCCTATCCCCATGTGGCATGTGGAAGCCAGACTCGAATGTTAAAGAGAGCGGCTTTTGCCTTCGGCCCCATCCCTTTTCTCTCGCTCTCTCTTGCTTGCCGGCTACAATTCGGCTAAACATTGCTCAGACGGAAGTGGCCGACGTCGCTGTTACCGCACCCACATCGGCAGCGACGCCGGCAGACTCGGAGGCAGAGACCCCCAACTCCCTTCCTCTCCATCATCTTTCTCTTTATCAGTTGTGTGCCAAGTGTTGCATTGCAATGCGTGATGACATTGTTGTAGTTGCAGCCCTGCAACGTTGTCGGTTTTCAGACTACATCAAGGGGGTATTTTTTAAGGCCGGAAACTGCCATCAAATGGAATGTTCAAATGTTTCGAAACTATCTCAAGCTAATCAATGAGCTATGGGCTATAACATTTTGTCACCATCTAAAGTCAATGTGTTTTTTAATAACCAAATCATTTCGGTTGTATTTTCATTTAATTAACGCATCACTTTACTTAAGTTCAGTAAATAAGATAAACAAGAAATTACTTTAAACTCGTGTTTGCTTTAATACATATTACATTAATATTTATGTGAGAAACTGAATTATTTTATATTTTAGGGTAAAAAAGCACTTTTTCTATGACCTGATTCGGAGCAACCTGTCCCAATATTTATTATTTGTTATTATTTGTTATTCCCCAACCCATATCATTTATTACGGTGATAATTGTTTCCCTCAATATTTTTTGAGCTACACAACAAATATTTGCAACTACATACTTTTCTTTTGAAATCATGCAACCATAAATTAGCTAAACTCGCTCTCATGTTTTTATTTTTATCAGCAATCTGTTTAAATATTTACAACTCATGCTCGCTTCCATTTTTATTCCCGACTTTGTATATACAAATGTATCTCGGAAATCTCTCCAACTTGTCAGGCGATCTTCTCAGTTTTTCCCATATCCACAGAGGAACTTCACCCCATAACAGTAAAAAAAAATGTAATCTCCTTTCCAGTTTTCAATTTCTATTAATTTTTTTTGGCAGTTTTTTGGGATTTGTTTTTTTCTGATTGCGCCCGAGGACTTGAGGCTGTGATATCCTTCGGCTTTCTTGGGTGGGGAGTCCAAGCCACTCACAGATCCGTGAGTGTGATTTTTTTCGCATTTCCCATAAACCAGACCAGACAACAAGAAGAAGAGGAGCGAGAATCACCCCTTACAGCCGCAGAAAGAGAGGAACTTTGGCCTGCCCCCTCCACTTCTCCCTGCATATGCAATTAGAGTATCTCTATGCTTGATTTTTTCCAACCATTTTTTGCAAGATGTTTTTTTTTTCGCCAAGTCGAAGAGAGAAAGAGGGAACTTCCCACGATCCTTGGGTGGACTTTTGTACTCTGGAAGACATTTTATGAGCGCAGTGTCATAAATACTTTTAATTAACTGGAAATGCGTGTGCGAGTGCCTGCTTCTTTTTTTTTGTTCTGAGTTCGTGGGTATCTGTGTATCCGTTTTCTTCCCATTCCACATCCTAAAAGCGGGGCGTGAGTTTCCAGAGGCGTATTTACCATAATTTGCTTGATTTTTTCCCGTTTGTCATATCATAAAGTTTTACGGGAGGGCAAAGAGGCAAGCGGCAAGGAGAGAGGGTGGAAGGCAATGCGGTGTGGCATAGATACGTTTAGCAATAACTGCGCACATATTTGAGCAGATGTTTTTATTTGGGCTTAGATCATTGAACCCATGTCCGAAATTCGGCTTAGACACTTGCGTAATTTTCGCAACGCTTGCGAACAGAATGATAAATTATAATGCGCAATTCAATCTAAGCAATTAATTTAAATAATTATGAGTATGTTATTTTATATGTATTATAAAAATATAATGCATAAAGTAGAATACAATTTTATTACACTTGATCTAAATTGGGACTAAACATTCTCGTTTCTACTCACATATAGAATGTCAAACTAAACTTCAAAATATTTTATTGCTATCCCTGAAAAGCATGCTACACTTTTGTTACTCACCGAACTCTGAAGAAAAGTATCAATCTTAATAAAAACTATCAAATTTTTTTTACCAAAGTAAAAGTATATTCTGCTTGGATGGAAAGCACCATTATTTAAAAAATTTTCCAGCTGATTAGACGTTAGTTAAGTGAAGTTTTTTACTGGATTATAAATAATCAGTTTTAAATTTGCCCTCCGACCGTTTATCCTCTCGGTTAATTTCCAGCCCAGACGCATTTAGCCGGCAGCGTTTCAAGTCTGAGAGCCCAAAGGAACTGCGTCAGGCATTCATCATGCTCCTCGTCAACCTCGTCATCGTTCCCCTTTCATCCTTTCGCACTCCTTTTCTCCGTCGTCTCCCTACGACTCCTTCCTCGTCAACGTCAGAGCAGCAACCCCTTTGCCTTGAGTGGGGTGCAAATATCGTATATAGTATAGTATATTCCCCACCGCCGCCCCCTTTTCCCCCCGGAGCGCCAGACATATGGGAAATGAAAGAGAGTTGCCGGCGGAGAGGGGGATGGGAATCGAGGAGAGGAAACCACGACGCCGGCATGGAATGCAATCAGCAAGAAAACTACTTGAGAATCTCAAGCCACGGCGCGATATTCAAATTTTAAAATAAAAGTGAAACAGAAATGGGGAGGTGGACGGTGGACAGGGAGGTAGGTGGAACGAGACGACTACTGGTTGAAGTCGACGTCGACGTCGCCGCCTGTTTGACAGAATGTCAGTCACAATTTTCGAGTCAAGGGGTGGAGTTTTTCCTTCAGAGGCAGCAGCTTTTAAACTGCACTTGGAAAAACAAAAATATATTCGACATTTTTATATTGATAGCTTGAAAAATACTAAAATGTAATATTATTATTTACTGAACACATTTTAACCTTTAAAAACAGGTTTTTCTAGCTAACACGCATTTTCAGGAATTTTTGCTTTAAAATTTATAAATCATCTGTATGGAAATTGTTTCAAGTATATGTTTTTAGTTTTCCTTTTTTCCCACCCGGTTGACTGCGATGAACATTTATTGAACATCTTGTGGCGTATCCTGGAAATTGATTGTGTCGTTTTCAAGAAACATTTTTCCTCTCAGAAATACTTTTAACGACAGCACCTCACCCTTACCCTGTAATATATTTCCCCGGGTAAATAATTTTGTTGGGATTATGTTAATTTCATACCGTTTAAAAAATTGCTAACTAATTGGATTTTCACCTTAATTATGCTAATAGATACTGAGTACTTTAACTTTTTATATTAATAATAATATTAATAATAATAATAATAATGATATCTTAAACAGGATATTGTTTCACAGTAATCAGATAGGATATGCAGTATATCAGTAAATATTACTCATGTGTTCTTCATTCCCGTGTTATTCTTGTAAATTAATCTAGCAAATTTCTTCATATAAGCTTAACAATAATTTACGTTTGAATTTCCTGATTCGTAAGGGAATGACAATACTTTTTGAACATAAATACCCTATATCAGTTGACTCTATTTGTACACACATAAGTGTACAAACGTCGATTGCTGGGCGGTTAGGAAAACTACAAAAAGCAAAAACAAAGACAACGAATTACGAACCACATTGCTCAATGATCGACATTGAGACGTGCGACCCCACTGGATCCCCTCCCCCCAACAGAAGCCCCATGTGTGGGAAAGAGAGAAATACCTTATGTGGACTACCTGTCCGCCCTAACTGTGAGTACGATTACTCAACAAACTCACAGATACTCTGCAAACGCACACTCTGACTACCGACTTATATGGTTAGGCGTTCTCGGTTTTGGGTTTTGAGTTCGGTTTCGGTTTTAGCTGCTTTCGATTCTACCGAATCACGTTCAATGAACTTCCCGCTCGCTCGATGGCTATCTATATAACACTCTCTAGGCCGCAAGATCGCTACCAACAAAATGGAATTCCTATTTACGTTTAATTATACATTTACATGTAAGTGGAAGCACCAACAAAAGTCGAAAGAAATTAAATAAACCTGGGCGGGAAACAAAAGACTTTAAACGTTTGCCATATTTGTTTCAAAGTCTTTGTTATGTTCAATTTGGTTAATACCACCAGTTAAATTTAATACAAAGTTTTGAAAAATTTAATTTTGTTTATCCCGACTATACTTACACAATTGAAGCCTTGATGAAGCAATTTTTAAAAGTAATCCAAAGGGTCTTTTTGGCAGCGGAAATATTGGATTGGTTTTACAGTATTAAATTATTAAAAACTAATTGTATTGTAATTACGAAAACTTAATTCAAATGTAATAGTTATGTATAATAAATAAATAAGCGTTTTTAGCTCTAAAAGAATTTGGCTTTTTGTAAAGTAATATAAAAAGAATATTACAAGTAGTTTAAAGATCTCTTTAGATTTTGGAAACAATTTTGAAGTAACGTTTATAATAGAAACACTTAAATAGTAATGAGATTTTGGATAAAAACTTGTTTAACACGTGAAATTTTTAATAATAA